AACTATTTGTAATAATTGTTATTGTAAATTTTACTGTTGTGCGTATATTAAAACATATTTGTGTTATAAAAGAAAACTGTGTATAAATCTTGTCGGTAAATATCATAAACTAACTATATGTCGGATTTACTTAACTACTAAATCTAAAGTACAATTTAACTACTAAACTTAAATTTATCAGTTAACTCAACTGCAGACTATTTGAAATTGTAATACGTAACAATATACTATGGTTCTTTAAATTTCTCAATGGTTTCTTAACAAGCTCAAAACTAATGTAATCATTTTATTCACCCTTGTTTCCATCTAACAACTGTAGCAACTGTACAAGTAGAACTTAAATAGAACTTAGTAATCCAACTATTCCATAATCATGAAATATTGGCATTCCTGTATCATCCTTGAAAGGTCCTCCTCACATCCTAGCATTTTGCTTACCCTTTATGTATTTAAATGAATCCTTATTTACATTTTCAGCCAACTTTTTTCATATAGTTTTTATTTTCATTTTCTAATTTCCTGTTTGACCAACTTGGTTGGTCTTCTATAATCCTCTAGATTTACCACCATTGCAGTCAATTTAAACTTCTTATCTTTTTAACGCTTTTCTCTAATCTTATCCTTTATACCCTTAGTGAACTAGCAAAGCTTTTTACTTGCAGTCACCTTTGTTTTTCTTACAAGGAACATGCCTATCCTGAGCATTTAATAATTTATTTTGAAAATTTTTCCACCAACTAATTCAGTTGCTTAATTCACAGCAGATAATTCTTGTCTCATCCCTTAAATATTTGTTTTCTGTTTTTTAACTTGGAACTAAATTATCATTATTCCTAATCTCCATATGCAGTGAAACATCAAATTTAATTGAGCAATGACCACTTGCATCCAGATGTTCTTCACCCTCCACCCTGTCAACGATCTCTGTCTTAGAAGTTAACAATAAGTTTAAAAAAGCATTGTTCCTAATAACTTTCCTAACCTATTGTAGAAGAAAGTCATCTTTAACCGTTCCTAAAAACCTGTCTCCCTTAAATACTTGTTTTCTGTTTTTTAACTTGGAACTAAATTATTATTATTCCTAATCTCCAAATGCAGTGAAACATCAAATTTAATTGAGCAATGACCACTTGCATCCAGATATTCTTCAACCTCCACTCTGTCAATGATTTCTGTCTTAGAAGTTAACAATAAGTTTAAAAAAGCATTGTTCCTAATAACTTTCCTAACCTATTGTAGAAGAAAGTCATCTTTAACCGTTCCTAAAACCTGTCTTCCTTATGATTTGACTCTAGAATTTCCCAATCTATATGAAATTTACATGGCTTTAATATATACCGTAACATTCACGTGTCTTCAGTAAATACATACCGTAACATTCTCAAGTGTTTTCAATATAGATATATCATACCGTTCAATTGATCTTACAAAAAACATAATATTCTTAAAATAGAACTAAGCCACCCTTAATTTCTACAGAACTCCCAACCTCCACACATATGAAAGAATGGCTGGGTGTTTTACTTTGTAGAATATTTTTTGCCAGTTCTTCTCGGGTTGGTTTAATTCTACATTAATGTTATTTCTAAGTATGAAGGGATATTGCCTTCCCACAACTGCCTGCGGTCAGCGAAAGGCAGTTGGAGTTGAGACGTTGTGGGTTCAAGCACTCAACTCCTAACACTTAACTAATTCTCGTTAGTTACTGGCAAGTTTTTCATCAGCGTTTTGGTTCTTGCCTGGTAGATGCAATATCCCCAACGCATTTTGGTGCTATGACCACAGACATTACCCTTTATGACTTTAGGACGACAGTAAGGAATAGTAAAGGAGGCGTGGTTTTGAATTTCAATTATATTGTGCTGTTTTTGGATTGTATATATATACATATCGTAGCATCTATATGTATTTTCAAAACATACCCGAACTTTCACACGTGTCTGCAATAAATATTCCTACAACATCTCCATGTATCTTCGATATATACATATGTTGTAACATTTACATATGCCTTCAGTATTACTTACCGTAAAATTCCCGTCTTTTCCCGTAAGAATCACGTGTCTTCAACGTCATGACATTTTCATGTGTCTAATATATTCACCGCAAAAATCACTTGTGTCTTCAGTAGATACATATCGTAATATTCAGAAGTGTTTAATATGTATACCATAACCATAATTTGCGTCTTAAATGTATATATATATATATATATCATAATCTTGACATATATGTATAGTATGTTCAGTAACATATATATGTGACTATAATATATGTATATCGTAACAATCACTTCTGTCCTTACTATACATACCATAACATTCTTATGTGTTTTCAGTATATACCTTATCGTTCACATGTGCTATGATATTCCTTGTATTTTTGTTATGTGTATATACTTTTACAATTTATTTATTTACACGCTAAAGGAGTTTAACATCAGCCAAAGTACAGACTCTTTTTTTTACCCTCATCAATTGTCATGGACCTGGCCAGGTAGCATTACGCCGTTTCTAAGTCTAAACCAACAACTACAGAAAGGCAATCACCCGACAACAGCCACTTTTGTTTATTTATTAGTATATTATTGTGTATTGTTTAGAATAGATTGTTAATTGTATTCGTTTTTAACACCAGATACTCAATGTTTATAATATGATTTTAATAACATTACTTCTATTACTGTCATATGCTTGGCAAAATTGACTACAAGTTTGCTTAGACGATGTCGTCATTTCCTAGCCGATGCTATTAATTCATATTTTAAACAGGTGGAATCTGTCTTTGTTGTTAATGGCGGGGTATTTTCATCAATGGCGAAGAACAGAGGAAAATGATACTGTCCGACCATCAACAACAATGCCCGGTTTTGAGTGTAACAGAGCAAAAAACAATAAAAAATGAAAATTATATATAGTAAAGATTTGCCATTTGCTTTACCAACGGTGTGTATTAGTTAATTTGAAAGAAAACGATTATTTATTTGTTCCTTTCACATCATTTGTTTATCGAGCCTAAAGAGAAATGTAAATTGAATCACATCTACGGAAAATGGTACACACACACAGTAAATCGACCAAAATACCTAATCTTTCATTCCGTTTTATGAGTTCACTTAATTGAATAATTCTGTAGGGTTTGTTTCATTATTATTATTATAGTTGACGGGATTATATTTGGTTTTTTAGTTTTATTATTTTAATATTTCTTTTAGAACACAAAAAAATCGGCGAGGCTGTTTTGGGTCCAGTAAAATCGTGAGGGGAACAATATAATGTTTTAGGCAAGACGCCTTTGTTGTTTCTCTGGGAATTGGCGAAAAAAAATATACATTTTCAAGGTTTTTAAGTCAAGGTTGCCTAAATTCATTCTTCACCCTTACACACTGCACAGACAAAATCACTTACATGTACAGTAATATTAAACATAATTTTGTTGTTGTTTTGCTTTACTATGTTTACCATTTATGGCAAGACGTTTGTGCAGCAACTGATTCTGAGGCATATATATATATATATATAGATATAGACATAGCATACATTGTTTTCTATTATCGGGGATTTGTCAACAAGAAATAGAAATACAGTTCAGTTGGATTTATAAAATCATAAATATTTTTTTGGGAACTGAACCATAATGTTTTAAAGCCTTTGTGTGTGGTCAACTTCGAACATGGTTTGTTGTAAAAATATTTCAGTTATTATAAAAAAAGGGTTCCCAAAATGCTCGGAACCATGTTTCGGCTACCGAAGTTATTGACGGAACAATTCCCCTACAACTCGAGCACTGATAACACATCATTCACTTGTGTCTTTATTATTATTTACACCATAAAGTTCACATGTGCTTTTATCATCCCATTTAGGCGTTCTTTTATTATTTCTACCGTTTTTGTAGGTACCTAACCTACTCATATAAAAACTTCTCCTAAATAGTTTTTACTATACTTGCAATGGTTGTAACTTTTATGGCAGCTAAGCATAACAGTTCATGATCAAGAAACTGATGATCCATGTATTAACAGTATTTAATAACAATGTATAAGAAATATTGCACTTTTGGAAATTCAATAAAATCTAACATGGTATTTGATCAACCTTAGTTTAGCTTCCTTTTTTTTTGGTTTCTGATATAATGCGTGAAATATACGGAACAAATGTTGAACAACTATATAGAGATTTTACTTATCTTCTTCAATATAATATGTTTGGTGCATAAATGAATACTACCTTTAAGTAGAACTGATATACATCGTAGACGAGAAGGGACGTTACAGCAATAACTTCTGCCGATCCTGTTGACGTCACAGCCATTAGAATCATAAGTAAAATAAGAAATTCGCCAAACCTTCCCATAATTAAACTTGCAACAACTGGTGGCACAAGACCTACAAATTGGAAAAGAAGTAAATATTGATTTCATTTTATTCTAAGTATGAAAAATAAAATAAAACCTTAGATAAGTTAAGACACTCCTCTTACCAAAAGGAACTAGATAGAGAATGTAGTGATTAAGAAACATAATAGGCTTAATGATAAGTAAAATTAATTATAATCATGCTTCGCCAGCTTCTAAAAGGCGTTCACACCCTAATAATTGTTGTTGTAACAATGGTCTTTATACGTAGTGTTATGACTACTAATGTGTTTGTTGTATCTCAGCCGGCCTGCAGAGCTCTGAATAGGGCGAAAAGCGTCGTTGGCAATGAATATGACGAATATGGTGTTATTGGAATATTATTTTTATTATACACTCTCCTAATTCTTGAATAATCCTAAAAGACTAGATAAAGAATGTATTGTTCAAGAAACATATTAGGACCAATGCTAATGTCTTATGACAAATATAGTTAATTATAATCATGCTTCTACAACTTGTATAAGGCGTTCACATTCCTAACAATTGTCCTGTGTTCTGTTTGAGCTCTACCATTTGATGTTAGTTCGTGAAAAAAAATCATTATTCAGTGTTGACTGAAGGATAAAAACCATTTGCAATGAAGACGAAAAATACCTTCAAATAAATGTTTATTTATTCTAGCCGACATATCAGCTAACGTCTTTCTCAAGGTTCTATGAACGTCACAGGTTAAAAAACTCATTTTAAATTATAGTAACCGAAAATAATATAAAAATACGACAAGATAGAAAAACAGTGCACGGTGAAGCGTACTAAAAGTATTGCTCAACAGTTTAGAGTCGCTAACCATAAAAGTAAATGCTAAAAAATAAAAATAATTCTTACATGAAATATTAATAGATTTATAGGCACCAGGCATTGTATCTGTTAATGGAAGGGCAGGATTGAATCAAAAGAGATTCCTTAAATTTCTTGCCAAATATCTAAAACTTTGATCCGATAAGATGTCTCGTTAATTATGCCGTGTGCGTTGATGTAATGTTCAGAGGTGGCTTCTTTGCTGTCAGCATTTGCAGTGGCACGAATGTGTTCTTTCAAACGATCATGTATTGGACGATTGGATTCACTTATGTGTGTGGCTGAACACTGTGTACATGTTATTTCATAGGGGGTGTTTCTATGTGTGCAGGATTTCTTCAAGCCATTGGCCATAGCAAAGCACTTTCTGGACTTGTATCTACTATTGTTATTGAAAGCTAAACGAGTAAGTATATCCTTCAATTTTTACCGGGCTTTCGTATGATGTGGGTATTCAAACCAGATCTTCTAAATGTTTGACGAAGACGAATGCTTAAAGGTTTATCCACGAAGGACATAATCCATGAAACAGTGTTTATTTTGTGTGTGTTTTTTTTTTGTTTTGTTTTGCTGTCGTTTGTTAAAATTTTGTGAATCAAAATTGTCTTAGTAATGTAACTATACGGATACTCATTGGACAACACTAACTTTTGAAGTTTCAACCTGGCTTGCGTCATATTGTCAATGGTCTTGCCGATTTTTTCAATTCTGTTAAGTTGACCTATAATGACACCCCGCTTGATAGCTGATGGATGGTGTGCTAGCAGTAATAATGGCTCGTCAACGATCGATTTGAAATTCTTAAAACATAACAAATATAAGTAGTCTAACATTATGTTTTAATACTAACATATTATATGCACTTTTGCTAACTACCACTGAAAACATCCGAAATTTATACCGTGAGAAATAAACAAATGTCTTATTTTGTTTGCTGTTAAGCACAAAATTGCATAATAGGCCATTGCGCTGTGGTTCGAGTTCCAGGCTGGGGATAGAAAAATCCAAGTTTCTAGATATGATATCATTGAGCATTCTCCGTAGTCTAAACTGTAGGCTCGTTATAAAAGTGACAGTCAATCTTACTATTTGTTCAAAGAGCACTATAAAGTTCTTTTGGTAACAAGTGCTGCTGACTAAATGCTCTTCTTTCAGTCGAAACCCGATTTTTTATCATTGTAGGTCCACAGCCGTACACGCTGAACCAGTAGGGGTATGAAAAAATAGGGATGGCTATACCTTAACCCTGAGGTTGTCTATCCTAGCTACTTAATCTCTGTATCTATAGAAATTGCTGTTGAAAATTAAATTTCTTGTTTTTCCTATTTCCTTACATCAATGAATAAAAAGGAAATATTAATCGAGACATTAAATGTAGTTTACTTTTATTTTTAATTTGAAAAATTAATTTTTTGCATAAAGTTAAAAAATTATTACCTACAAAACAATCGTTAATATGCTTGTATCACAAGTCTCTGTAGTTGTCTAAATCGCCATTTCCCTGAGTTAAGGGAAAACGCCTGTTAAGCACTAATCAATGAAAAACAAGACTATTCATTATCAAGACTAGATGGTTTGTTTGAAATTAAGCACAAAGCTACACAATGGGCTATCTGTGCTCTGCCCACCACGGGTATCGAAACCCGGATTCTAGCGTTGTAAGTCCGCAGACATACCGCTGTGCTACTGGGGGGCGAGACTAGATGGAACGTGTGTTGATATTGAATGAACTCTTGTGTTGCGAAAGAAACTGAGAAAAGTGAAATTATGACTTTATCAACATACTCTGATACGAATATTCTATTGAACCCTTAGACATTTGTTGATGCCCCTGGAACAGATCCATCTGATCATAGAATAGAAGCTAAGTGATAGCAATTTTTGAATGTTCTACTATGATTAGATTTTGTATATATAATTAAATAATGATACATATAACGTAAATTGCTTATAAATTAAACGTCCCTCTTAAGAACTCTAGAGCACCTGAAAAACAAGGTATGGGAATATGCGCCTCCTAGAGGAATCAAATGCAACCATCACCAGATCATACCGTACAGATACCTCTGTTGCAAATGTTGCATTGAGGTAATGCTAAGTGTTCAATGTTTGGGCTGGGTATATTAACAACGAACTGCATGCTTGTAACCATGGGCACCTATTTTATTCAATATAAAGTCAACATCTCTTGTGATAGCATTCTTCCTATCGTATTTGGGGTGGTGTAGAAGTTATAAGATGTTAGTAATCCTACAACTAGAAACTTGTCAGAGCTTTGTCCTAGAAACGCGGGCAGTTTAGGGGCCATTAGTGCTGATCTGTAGTCGCGCAAGGAAGTTCAACCCAAAGTCTATGCGACGTTGAGGTTCGGCCCATTCAGTTTCCATCTGGAGAAGTTCGTAGGGAAGCATATGTAATGCCATATAAAAAGCTTTCCTAATCGTCATAACTGTTACATCAAGGCAGCGGAATGCTGCACGGGCACTGTGGATGCTAAGGCTGCAGGGCTATTGACAAGATGCATTGTCGTCAAATACAGCATAGTCAAACCTAGCGATATCTGAGGCCTCAAAATCGTTCTAACAAATGAACTCAACCCTCTGTGTATATATACATACATGGTTATTATTATATGTAAGTAAGAAAGATCAGTATTTTACTTCAGTGTATATAACCACAAGAAATAGGTTTGGGTATCATTAACTGCAAATTGTTTTTTCTTGGTCCCTAACTTTCTACTCATACCAACGCCTAAGTGTTTTCCGTTTATTTGTGAATTAGCAGAAATTAAGTGTTGGAATTTTTTTAATTCTCTGAGATTTGGCCGAAATTGGATTTTGAAGAGAAAAGAAAGCATAGTAACCTATCATTTAGTCTGTTTAACACATATGGATGAGGTGGGATTGTTTTTATATTTATGTCTTGATAACTGTCGTTGCACCAAGGTTTTCCATTACTATCATTCTTATATGAAACTTTGTTTGTGGTTATTTCCTTTGTGAAGCCTTAGGATTCCTTATATCCGTAGGCTGATTTTTAGAACGTTATACGTGCTAACATCTAAGCTGATCAAAAAGGCGGGAAAAGATAGAAAACAAAAGGCCATTCTCATAAAGATCAGACCATAAATAGTGAGATCTAACTTGCGACGTTCTCCAGGGAGTTTTGAAGAAAAAAATTCTCATTGTAACATATTGTTGTCATTTTCTAAAAAGATTTTATTTGTTTACTTTACACCTTAATCTACAGTTTTATTTACCATTTGATCTCCATTTTAAATATTTATTTTTATTTATGGCTTCTGTTTTTATGTTGAAAATCTTTAAATATTTTCCCACTTGTTGCTCGTTATTTTTATTTCTTTACCTCTTGGTAACTCAGTGGTAAGCCAGCAGGCTTCTGACCCTAAGGTTTGGAACTCGATCCCTGTTGTGGCCGCAGCCCAAAAAGCCCCTTGTCAGCTTTGTGCATAACAAACAAATGTTTTTGTTGCTTTTTTCAGATCTAATTATTGTTTCAATTGTGTATTTGCTTCTTTAGTCTCAGCTGTTACATCCAAGCCAAGAACTTTTTATCAAGCTTTTGTTTACAGTTTTAATGGTATTTCATAATTTGAGGTTTAATACTAAAGCTGTATTGTATTCTTCTCCAAAGAGTATGGTCCGCATAAGAACATTTAACAAGATGCATAATATTTTACACAGTCTTTTAAAACTATTTAATAACTCTCTATAACTTTTATACCTTGATCAACCTGATTTGGCTCTAACAATGGTTTTCCGTTGGCTGAACTTAAGGCAACATAAGCCAATCCCATCGTAGTCGCAAAGGTGAAAGGTACTGCAAACCATACCAGTCCACCAGCCAGAAAACCCCATACACCATCTTTAGGCTTAGCTGCCACACTACTCTGCCAGTAGGATTGGTCAACAAACACTGTTCCAAAGTTTCCTAAGATAAAATGTTAAAGATATATAATCCATATATTTGTGTATACTATATTCTATCTGTATGCTTAAAAGCACTGTGATATATATGCTCCAATTAACATATTAGTTAATGTCATCATTATCCTGCTGATGCAACTCTCATTGTTGAATGTTTTTCACATTTTATTTCATAGTAACTGTTAGAGAATATTCAAAAAATATAATTTAGTATTTCAATTAGCTGTTGAACAAATTTATATTATCATTTGAATTGCTTTCAAGAATGGCATTGTGTTTTTCTCAATGCCGATATCATCCAGTCGCTTATATAGCGCTGACAGATGAGAACAAATCATAAAATTTACTAAATCAGAAAGGTGTAACGGATTTACTATATTATATCTATTCTAATATCGATGTTTGTTTAAGTTAAATTTATATGTAGAAATGTACATAACTCACACTGTTAAATCTGTATTGCGAAATTCCCACCTATTCACTAAATTTATACAAAATTCTCGAGTGAAAGAATCAATAATATATGTGTGTACATAAACACTGGTGTGTCGTTTATATTGTTGTGTAAGCTGTAATTTCGAGAAACTCTCCTCACACTTATATATATATATATAAACCAACGTGATGCGAAAAAAGACAGTATGTATTATTGGTTTGTTATATTTGTTGCACTATAAACCACGGAAGCTATATAGTGATTGTTATAACGCTTATTAATCGGGAACTTCAGATATTTGACCAGGAACGTTTATAGATTTCGAATATAACAAACCATTTAACTTCAGTGGATTCACGATTCACATCGTACATTAGTATTTTTACGAAAACATTATATAACTTCAGCGGTGGACAACCTAATGTGTGGCTTGTGAATAACGAAGAACACAGAGCTCTCTAGCTCCCTGTTAAGTGAATTGTATCTACATCAACTCCAAATTAATTCGCTCATCGTGAACCCTCGATAGGACATCAAGGAAGTTCCAGACCAGGTAGAGGACTAAATATTGTTTGTAAGTTTGTAAAACTTTTGTACAGATATCATTACTTCTAATAACCATTATTGTAAATTGTGTTATTGTTTGTATATTCAAATATATTTGTATTAAAAAAAGTTGTGTGTATCAATCTTGTTGGCAAGTATCATAAATTATACACCTGGAAAAAAGTTAAGCACCCCCGTGTTTTTTTCAAGTGATTCAGATTCGACGTTCTTGTGACTGATTATAAATTACCATTCAATCTAAACGTGTTTATCAAATGAAATTATGCATTATTGGGCACAAGAAAACAAGATTATCACTGTAAAATAACAATTTTTAATTTACATATCATGACATCAAAATATGGACAGTTTTCACGCTTAAAATTATATTTAATAAGTATTGTCAGTGAAAAATCAAAAACGTTATTGAATTGTAAACTCACATTTCAAAATG